GGATGTTGCTACGGTCACCGGGACTACTATTTTTGGAGCCATTGTCGTCTTCAAGTTATCAAGATTGCGCTGACATCGCCCCTTGTAGTTGGATTTGAAATGCACGAGGTGTCGCTGGGTTGGTAACCTCGAGCCTAGCAGTTTGCTGAAGTCGTGGACTACCCAAGTGCAGGTGAAGCACTGTGTTAAAAGTTATTGATACTACTACTGATCCTCTTTGTGGATTATTGCTAATTAAGCTTAATCAGCGGTTAGGATCGGTGTTACGGCGAGACTGGTGGTCCGTTGCTGTTGATTGTGCATTTGAGTAAGCAGCAGGGAGCTCGAGGGCAACTACTATTTTATGAGCACTATTCTTGCTGGGCAGTTTGCTGTTAAGGCGTCTGGGCGGTTGCCGGCAGGTTGTGTTTTTTGCTGCTACGGTAGTTGAGCGTTTTACTGCTATGTGAGGATTGAGCCCTCAAGAAGGGGCCTTGCCATGATGTACATGTTCTGGGCTAAGGCCCCAGCAAGCCTCGTGCCCGCCCTAAGTGAAGGCGGGCCAGCAAATCAACAAGAGCCCTCTGTGCAAACATTTCATGAAGTGGGGTCCATACAGTTGCAGCACGCCAGTTGGTTGGAGTGCACCGAGTCTCGGATCTCTGCAAATGCGGAAATCTCAGGGCCTCTGAGTTAGTTAGGCCCTGGGCACTTGAATGTGAGGCCGACAATCCATGCTGGGTATAGAGGCCGAAAATGCCAAAGGGAAATCGGCCCACTATCTGAATCTGGCCGCAGGCCTTGACGAAAGAGGCGCAACTGCATGCCCCGGGCCTCAACTGCATCGGGCCTGGGTTCAGGCACTGGGGCCCAGAYGCAGGCTKAAGGGAGGCCGCCCACACGCAACACTGGCATATAGGCAAGCAGGGCGAGTGGGCAGGGATCTTGGCCATTGCGGGCAATGCCGGCACGCTGCGCTAATGCGAGCTGCTGCGCTAGGATGCAGTGCGAGACAGGCAGGCGCTAGGCGGTAGGGCGCTGCCTGTGCACAGGGCGCTGGCAGCCATAGCCGGGCTGCCTGAGGGCGCAGGGGAGGTGAGGGCGAAGGTGGTTCTTCGGAGGTGAAGGGCGCTRTGTGGGATAACAAGGGAGAGTGTGGGTGAAGAGAGAGACGTACCTGGTGGAGGTGGGAGGTCGGCATTGGTGTTGACATCATCACTCGCTGGTCGTCAAGTTGTCTGGTTGCTGTCATACTGTAGTTGTAGTGATAGGCTGTAGAGTAGGTAGGGCGCCTGGCGCCATTCAAGAGAGAGAGCTACATTGGGTTATGCTGTTGGTGTTGCCCTGTTGGGCTTGGACATTGACTCACGATTCTTCTGTATCGTTCTCAAATGGATGGTTACTCGGTTCCATTGTGCTATCTGCTCTTGCTTTGACTACTTGGACTTCAGTGTGATTTTGCAAATCTGGATTTTTGTGCTTCGTCCATATTCATGTTCCTTGCAATTTGGTATCGGAGCTGGTTTGATTCGCCACTTACCTTGGTGCGCTGGCGTTATACAGGCTTGGTGCGTTGACGATGCTTCTTCGCAGTTGGTTCTTGTGACGTCAGGCCATATTAGGCGCACAGCCTGGGTAGACAGGTGTGCACCGAAAGGCTAAGATGGCATTATGCCGTGGTGACAGGTGGAATGTATGATTGGTGATGAGAGCATGCTGATGTGGCATTCGGCTGAGGTGGCACTGCATTGCGTTGTGGGTGGTACCGAGGCCAAGACCGGTCATCAAATGCACACTCAGCTCAATTGGTGAGAAATCTGTGGTTGGGGGCAGCTATCTCCAGGTACGTTGTTCCCTTACCTTATCTACTCTCTCAATCTCTTCTTACCTTGAGGAAGTGAGTCCAACTTGAGAGTCCTCTCTTTTGGTGAGGTGTCGTGAGCGCGC